CTTGGAGAGGGACATCATGCTTGGGGAGGGTGGAGGGACAGCGCAGGAGGGGAAGGCCCTCTATAAGGTGGATTGATTTAGTGACTGGGGTAATCGGCATGTGTATGTCAGCGACAGTGCAATTGGCACAGGATAGAGGAGGGTTTAGGGCTGTTGTACATAGGGTCGCTGTGAGTTACAAGCGACTGATGGCACATAATAACAACAACAGTGCTCTCAATGGAGAAAACTTAGAGTTACTTGGTCTTTATTCCCATAATCTCATATTTTGTTTGGGAAGCAAGGTACATTGAAAGGGATGCCCTGTAGCTGTTTATTTTTTATGGAAGTAGAGGAGGGGCATGAAATGGCACAATGAGAGGAACTGCCTTGCTTGTTTTTCCTAGCTTCCCACAGCAGGTTTTGAGAGTTTTGTTAGATTCTGAAGTCAATGCTAATTTAAAATACCAAGCACGTTGACAGAATGCACTTGTATTTTTATTCACAGAGGTAGCCAAGGCAACTAGTGAGGTAGAGAACTGTCTTGAGACTTTCCAGGGTAGAGGCACTGGCAGAGCAGGTGGGCCTGGCTATGCTGCCCACAGCATCTGAGCCCCAGACAGCCTGTTTTGAGCATCATTTAGCCTTCAGCTCACAGTTGCTTAGACATCGGAAGGAGTGCTTGCCAGAGTGGTTCTGAGGAGGAGATGATACTGATGACCACAAAAATGTCAGGCTAGTAATAACGGCTGTGTTAAGTGAGGTATTTCTCTTGTAATGAGGGAGGCTTTGGAAACTGACCTTCTAACTTCATTTGGGCCTGTTGGTAAAGGTAGAATTTCTCTCTCTGTCCCAGGATGGGTTAGAATGTCTTATAGGACCCAAGGAGGTAGTTAAATGCAGGGTGACATTAGCAGAACTGACTAATGGAACAGTACCCTGGGAAGTCCTTCCCAGCCCTCATAGGCATGATGATATGTGAACAGCCAGCTTTCACTTCGGGAAGCCCTAAAGATACACTTCATAATTTGATTTTTTAATGTATATCCTAGAATTTCCAAGGGAAAAAAGTACCTTTCTTAAAATTTAAAGGCTTTTGCCCACCACTGCCCGCTGCCCCCAGCACGCCCCCTCCTCCATGAGTGCCCAGGAAATCACCATACCCTACCCATACCCAGTGCTGACCCCGGAGCAGAAGAAGGAGCTTTCTGACATAGCTCACCGCGTCGTTTCTCTGGGAAGGGCATCCTGGCCGCAGATGAGTCCACTGGAAGCATTGCCAAGCGCCTGCAGTCCATTGGAACTGAGAACACTGAGGAGAACCGGCGCTTCTACCTCTAGCTCCTGCTGACCGCCGACAACCGTGTGAACCCCTGCATCGGGGGTGTCATCCTCTTCCATGAGACCCTCTACCAGAAGGCAGATGATGGGTGTCCCTTCCCCCAAGTCATCAAATCTAAGGGTGGTGGTGTGGGCATCAAGGTAGACAAGGGCGTAGTAATGGCGAGACCACCACCCAAGGGCTGGATGGGCTGTTGGAGCCCTGTGCCCAGTACAAGAAGGATGGAGCTGACTTTGCCAAGTGGTACTGTGTGCTGAAGATTGGAGTACAAACCCCCTCAGCCTTTGCCATTGTGGAAAATGTCAGTGTCCTGGTCCTTTATGCCAGCCTCTGCCAGCAGAATGGGATTGTGCCCATTGTGGAGCCTGAGATCCTCCCTGATGGTGACCATGACCTGAACTGCTGTCAGTATGTAAGGTGCTGGCTGCCATCTACAAGCCTCTGAGTGACCACCACATCTATTTGGAAGGCCCTTTGCTGAAGCCTAACATGGTAACCCCAGGCCAGGCCTGCACACAGTTTTCTCAGGAGAAGATTGCCATGGCAACTGTTACAGCACTGCACCACACAGTGCTCTCTGCTGTTACTGGGATCACCTTCCTATCAGGAGGCCAGAGTGAGGAGGAGGAGGCATCCGTCAACCTCAATGCCATCAACAAGTGCCCCCTATAGAAGCCATGGGCCCTGACCTTTTCCTGTGGCCGAGCCCTGCAGGCCTCTGCATTGAAAGCCTGGGATGTGAAGAAGGAGAATCTGAAGGCAGCCCAGGAGGAGTATATCAAGCGAGCCTTGGCCAGCAGTCTCACCTCCCAAGGAAAGTACACCCCAAGTGGTCAGGCCCGGGCCGCAGCCAGCGAGTCCCTCTTCGTCTCTAACCATACCTACTAAGTTGAGGTGTTCTAAGGCTGCCTCCTCAATACTCCAGACCCCAGCACTCTCTTAGACTTAGCACTTGAGTAGAAGGCCTCATCTGGAGCTTCAGGCTGCTCCTTCCCATCACTCTTGCTGCCCTTGTGATATTGGTGTGTGGTGGTGTCTCTGTTTGCTAACTCCATCACCTTTTCCAACTCACTGCCAATAAACAACTATTTGGGGGGGGGGGGGAATTTAGAGGCTTTGTGAACCAACAGAAATAAAAGGCAATTTATTTGAGTATTGTTATTTCCTCTCTTGTGTTTTCACATAAGGGAGTCTAGTGATTGTGCTTTACCTGGGTGTTTATTTGGCCATGTGAAAACTGATATAGTAGGTGGTTCAGTAGTGAAGGAAATCTGGAGCTGGGGCGGACACATAGGTCTGAGCCTGCCAGGCATGCACTGTGAAGCTGAGTGTCACTGTCTGCCTAGTGACAGGGCTGGACATGACAAGCTCAGCTTTGAATTTCCAAACATACAACTTTGGATGCCTAGAGTCAGCCTTTCTTTTCTTTGGATACGTAACTTCTCTCCTTTTTGCTTAGCTTGCCTGAAGACTTTGGCTCGTTGAGAGCCATATAGAGGGAAGATGATGATGTGCCCATGTAGCTCCACTGCCCCAAAGCCCGGCATCTCCCTGGCAAGGTGGTGAGGTGACCCCTTCCTTTCTTGTCACCTAAACCTCATTAGAAATTGATGCCTTTGTGATTAGGGAAATGCCTGTGTTGTGGGATGTGCTTGAGTATTATTTCTGTGATGATTTTCCAAGGAAATACTACATACTGAATTGAGTATGTTTTTGTGCATGATTAACAGCACCATTGAAACCAAGGTCTTGCCAGTTGCACCAGGGCCAGGCTCGTGGGAGGAAAGGCACAATCACTTTGCTGATAACTTGTCTTCCAGGAGGGGGGCTCTGGGAAGCCGTGGAGGCCTAGTGTTAAAGAGCAGTGCTGCACACAGGTTCTGCTCCAGGGGAGAAAGCTAGGCAGTCTCCTGTGATTTACAGCCTCAGAAAACCCAATGTAGGTTCAACTATAGGTCAGTTCCAACTCAACAGAACATAACAACAATGAGGAAGCAGTGGGGGTGTGGTCTGTAGGGAGGTGTATTGCACCTCTCTATTGGCTCAAATCCACCAACAGCTCAAAGGGAGAAAAATGGACAGTCTCCTCTCATGTGATTTACAGCCTCAGAAGACCCACTAGTGGGTCAGCTGTTGCTTGTGTTTGACTTAAGAGCAACGAGTGAGTGATAGAGGACAGGGGCTGACTTCTACAGCGCCACAGGCTGTGCTGTGATTGCCTCAGTGAAGGAGAATTCCTAACAGGCCTGTTTTACCCGCCCCTGTCCCAGGCTTGGGCAGATGCCTTCCGGAGCAGCCCAGACCTCACTGGTGTTGTGCACATATACGAGGAGCTGAAGAGAAAAGGAATTGAGTTTCCCATGGCGGACTTGGACGCTCTGTCTCCAATACATACACCACAGCGGGTAGGTATCCAACTAACATAATCTAAAAAGACCCATAAATTGATATCCTGCTGCTACTATTTGAATTAGCTTACCATCATGCATTCCTAAGGTTTGAGAGTGTTAGAAGCTCTGATGACTTAGTGGAAAAGTGTTGCACTGTCAACCCAAAGATAGTTGGTTCGAAGCCACCAACTGCTCTACAGGAGAAAGGTGGATATGAGTTCTAATTTTAAATAATAAGGGAAATGCCAGGACTGAGCCAGCTGACTGAGGGGTGATTGAGTGATAGTAGTGCCTCCCTCATTTCTCATACTAACTGAGGGAAAATATAACAGAGGGATGGGTTCAGGGAGTTCATGGTTCATGGCTGCTTGGACAAACCATCCTGTGTGGGTCATTGCCATTTTCCTAGAATTTGTCCTTTTTCCCTTGGTCTCACCAGAATATCTTCACCTTGGCCATAGCAGCTTTGCAAGTTAAATGGATCTGAAATGTTAATGTAAGCTTTGAGCGTTCAGTATCAATCCCAAGACCCTTGAATCCTCTCAGCTTGGGCTTCAAAGCCTAGGCGAGGGTCTCTCATGATACTCTCCACTGGGGCTATTCCAGTGCCACTAGCAACAGCATAAAGGGACCGCTCTGTGCCAGAAACAGAAGCATGCAGGTAGTAACACCGCTCCCATTTTGCCAACCTCCCAGCAGCAGTGGTAGTAACAAACGATTGGGAACCTAGGGAGAGTCAACCCATGCCACCTTGTCCTGGTAAACCTGGCCTTGTAGATCCTCTCTGTGAAATTGCTTGTGAGGCAAATTGTGCCTGTACAGGTCTTATACGAGACCAAGTAAGATCATGCCCAAGAAGTTGTCTGAGATGCCAAAAGGAAAGCACAAGGAATTATATGATCCCTATAGACTGCTTACCATGCATTATGGATTACACACAACCTGTTTTATTCTCCTAAAATTACTCAAAACAGTATGTTGGGTCTAATTACTAAGAACATTCAGTATGTTGCATAATTAATATTTATCTTAGTTTGCCTGTAAAGGCCAGAAACATAATCTTAGGGAACCAGCTAAGTTGGTTAGGGATCTGCTCACAGCACTGCCCTCAGCCTGTGAGCTGCTCTGCTGTCTGAGAGCAGAGGGAGATGCTGTGAGCACACAGCCTGGTGACGGAGACCCGGGACCAGGTAGTCAGGGGGCCCTAGGCTAGCAGCAGTAACAGGACGTGCTGCCTAGGATGGGGTGGGTGCTCCAGCCCAGCTGTGTGGCAGTTCAGGTGAACAGAGGATTTTGTTGTTGCCATGACAGAGCATCCCCGAAATGGATCCAGCCATGACCACACCCAGACCCCAGTTACAGCCAAGGACAAGTACCAGCTCCTGTTCCTTGCCTCCTGCTCCCTATGCTGCTCCACAGGCTCCATTTCCACGTGGCACTGGCCCCATCATAGCCAATTCAGAACAGGTATTTGCATCCATCCAGGCCTCAGGCGAAGGGACTAACCAATCTCTTACTAATTTACTCTTAAGTACAAAGTGGAAACCAAAGTGGCTTCCCTGTGCTAAGCACTTGCTGGGCTGGGATGGAGAGATGGAAGGGCCTCCTCTTGAAGGCTCAGAGGAGGGTGGGGGCTGACGCAAAGACAGTCCTAATGCAGTGCTCTCAGCCTCTAGGAGCACAGTCAGCAGTGCCTGAAAGGCACATGCCCTGGGCCTGACACTGATAAGGTACTGACACTGATAAGGATCTGGGAGCAAGATTAGGAGCTGTCAGGTGAAGTGGTGTTCAGGGCAGTTGCTCCTGTGAGCACTGAGCTGCAGGGACTTAACTCTCTCAGTCTGGAGAAGAGCTGTGTGTCCAGAGTCTGATCAGGAAGAAGACTTTGGCAGAGGATGTGGCCAGAAGCCTGGAAGGGACTGGGTTATGAGAGGCCTTATGTGCCCTACAGATAAGTGCACATCACCTGTGAGAAATGAGAACCATCAGAGGCTTTTTAAGGGACTTCTTCAACAAGGTTGCTTGGTGGTGAAGTCACCAGGGTTAGGATCTGCTTTAATCCCAGCCTACTTTCCGTGTATTATATCCTGGTAAGCTAATAAAGTTCTAACCACAAACTTTTTTTTTCTATTATCACATCACAGTTCTTTATTTCTTCCTTCTCCCCTCCTCCCCATTCCCCATTTGATCAGTTTTGCATGTCCTGATTTCAATTTTAATCCACCTATTGTCCAATCATCCATTCATTTCAGGTTCCTCTAATCCATTATAATGTTCATTGTCTGTTGGTTCTATTCCTGCTCTTCCTGCTACCTAAACCTCTGTATTTTTATAAGAGATGTCCATTTGTGTACTTGTTCATTTGTGATTTCCTTCACTCAGCATAATGTCCTCTAGACTCATCCATGTTCACAAGTTCTTCACTATTTTTCAATACTACATAATATTCTGTTGTGTAAATGGGCCAGAATTTCTCTGTCCATTTGTTGATGGACACTTCGGCTGCTTCCATCTCCTTGTAAATAGTACTGTAATAAATATACATACATTTGTGTCTCAGCTCTGATTTCCTTATGATTATTATTATTAGGTGCTGAGTCAAGTACAACTCATAGTGACTCTATAAACAACAGATCTGAACTCTGTCCTATCCTGTGCCATCCTCCCAATCTCTGACTCCCTCAAGTCCATTGCTGCGGTCACTGTGTCAGTCCCCTTGATTGAGGATCTTCATCTGTTTTGCTGTTCTTCCCCCTTTCCAAGCATGATGTCAGTCTACAAGGAATAGCCACCCCTAGCAACATGCCCAAAATATGTGAGACAAAGCTTTATCATCTTTGCCTCCAAGGTGCACTCTGGCTGTGCCTTCTCTAAGACATTTGGTAGTCCATATATTACTGAATATATGAATATACTCCTCTCCAACATCACAGTTCAAGACATCAATTCTTCTGTAATCCTTATTCATTTTGTCCAGCTGTCGTGAGTGACTGAAAAGACCATGGCCTGAATCAAGTGCACTTTAGTCCTCAGCCTAACATCATTGCTCCTTAATAATTTGGAGAGGTCCCTGATTACAGACTTTCTCAGTGCAATATGTCTTCTTATCTGTGGATCCAAGCACGGTGAAATCATTAACAGTTTCAGTCCTTTCTGCATCTATCATGATGTTGCCTGTTGGTCTAATGGCAAGGATTTTGTTTTCTTGATGTTGAGATGCAATCCATATTGAAGGCTACAGTGTTTAACCTTCTGCAGCAAGTTCTTCAAGTCCTCCTCTATTTCAGCAAGCAAGACTGTATTGTCTGCATAATGAAGATTATTGTTGAGTCTTCCTCCAATCCTAATGCCACATTATTCTTCATAGAGTCTACTTTCTCAAATAATTTGCTCAGTCACCAAAGTCTAAAAAAAAAAAAATAATAATTTGCTCAGTGTACAGATTAAATAGGTGTGGAGAAACGATATTCTGTTAGATCACCTTTCTTGGGAATGGAAAGAAATATGGATCTCTTCCAGTCAGTTGGCCAGGCAGCTATCCTCTCAATTTCCTGGCATAGACTGGTGAGCACATTCAGGGCTGCATCTCATTTGAAACATGTCACTTAGTATCCTGTGATTCCTAGGGACTTATTTTTTTGCCAAGGCCTTCACTACAGCTTGAACTTCTTCCTGAAATATTTTGCTGTCAGCCAATTCTTTTTGGTGCAGTGATTATTTACATTTCCTCCATCTTCTTTTGATGTTTCCTGGGTCATTCAAGATTTTGCCCATAGCATCTCTAAGTTATTGCAACTCAAGGCTTGAATTGTATTTCCGTTTTTTCAGCTTGAGGTATGTTGAGCAAGTTCTTACCTCTGTCGCAATGGTTTGTTTTGTCTTCGTGAGCTATCTTTTGAAATCTTCTCTTCAGCTTCTTTATTTTAGCATCTCTTTTTTGTTTTGGCTTCTCAACACTCTAGTGCAATTTTCAGGATCTCTTTTGGCATCTGTTTTATGTTTTTCTTTCTCCTCTGTCTTTGTAGTAACTTTTTGCTCTCTTCATAGATGATATCCTTGATGTCATTCCACAACATCATTGGTGTAATTTTCTTCAGGCCTCAGTTTGAACTTGGATATAAGTAACTGATGGTCTGTTCCACAGCTGGCACCTGGACTGCTTTTGACTGTTGATATTGAGCTTCTCCAGTGGTTTCTTCCACAGCTATAGTCAGTCTGTTTCCTATGTAGTCCATCTGGTAAATTCTATGTGTAAAGTCACCATTTATGGTTTGGAGTTTTTTACATTTTTAAAATTTATTATTAATTTCAATGAAAATTTACAGAAACTTTGGATTTCCATTCATTCACTGTTGCACTTTTCCCCCTTCCAACCCTCCCCCCTAGTACACTACCCTCTTGGAAAAGTAAAAGAAAAATTCTTTCATTGTTTTACAATCCCTCCCCCCAGGTCCATTCCACTATACAGCCTTCACTCTGGACTCCTGTCATGACAAAAATACCTCATAATTTCCCCTCTTAAACAGTTTTTTCCCTCATCTGTTTAAATGCCGTATACATTACTGAACCTGTCCTTCTCGGTCTACTCCCAACCCCGAGGTCAGTCCTGTTTTACAACAGTGGCACCATGCAGTATTTGTCCTTTTGTGACTGAGATATCTCACTCAGCATAATGTCCTCCAGGGTCACCCATTTTGAATAATATTGCAAGAGTTCCTTGTTTTTCAATGCAACATAGTATTCCATTGTGTGAATATACCACAGCTTCTCTATCCCTTCATTTGTTGATGGACACTTAGGTTGTTTCCAACTCCTTGCTATTGTGAACAAAGCCACGATAAACATGGGTGTGCATATATCTGCTTGGGTGGCAGTTATGGTCTCTTTGGGGTATATTCCCAGTAGTGGAATTGCTGGGTCAAATGGTAACTCTATTTGCAACTTTTTGAGAAAGCACCATACCACCTTCCACAGTGGTTGCACCATTTTACACTACCACCAACAGTGACTAAGGGTTCCAGTTTCTCCACAACCTCGCCAGCATTTGTTGCTTGCTGTTCTGTTACATTTTGCAATTCTGACTGGGGTGAGATGATGTCTTATAGTTGTTTGGATTTGTATCTCTCTTAGAGCTAGGGATTTTGAACATTTCTTCATGTGCTTGTTAGCCATCTGAATGTCTTCTTTGGTGAAGTGTCTGTTCATATCCTGTGCCCATTTTTCTATTGTATTATTTACCTTTATCTTGTTGTGGTGCTCAAGTATTTTATAAATTCTGGACATAAGTCCCTTATCTGATGTCATTACCAAATACTTTTTCCCATTCTGTGGCTTCCCTTTTTACCCTGTTGGAGAAGTTTTTGGATGTGCATAGGGATTTGATTATTAGAAGATCCCATTCATCTATTTTATCTTCTCCTGGTTTACCATTTATGTTTTTTAAAAAAATAATTTGCTTTTTTTAAAGAGTTTTCAACATATCTATTTTATTGCACTGATTAAAAACTTTTTTCTTTTTTAATTGAGATTTTAATGAAAGTTTATAACAAACTTGTGTTTCTAATCCTTCATTGTTTCACATTTTCCTCCCATTCCCCCCTCCCTTCAGATAGTTTTTTTTCTTTGGGGAAAAATATTTCTTCATTGTTATACAGTCCCCACCCTAATCCACCACCCTGCCCCAGACCACTTTGCTATGTATGCAGCTCTTACTCTGGACTCTTGTAATGCCAATACTACCTAATCATATATTCTTTTCATACAGTTCTCTTGCTTTTCTGTTTCAATGCCATGTAAATTATTTATCTCCTCTTTTCTGTTTTCCCCAGACCCCCATGTCAGTCCTGTTATATAACAGTGTCATAATGCCATATTAAAAATAAAATATTTGCAATGAATTTGATCATTCAATTTCTGTCCTCCTTTCTGTGATCAAGTACATACTTTTCAACTACCATTCCTTCTTCATTGTTTCTAATTTTTTTCTAATTTTTGCATTACAATCACCAATTATTATTAACACAGCTTGATTACATGTTTTGTCAATTTAAGACTATGAAATTTCCTCCTCTTTAACTTCAGCTGTTTGTGTATGTATTTGAATAATAGTTGTATTAATAGATCTTCCTCATATTTGTATAGATAATATCCTATCACTGACAACATTGTACTTAAGGATAGAACTTAAAATTATCTTTTTTAACTATGAATGCAACACCATTCTTCCTCTGGTTTTCATTTTTAGTTCAGAGTGGCCAAAGCCAGTTCATCTCATTTCACTAATGCCTAGAATGTCGATGTTCATGCGTTCCATTTCATTTTTCACAACTTCTAGGTTATCAGCACTCATATTTCATACATCACATATTCCAACTGTTAAAGAATGTTTGAAGCTATTTCTCCTTATTTTGATTAACTTCCAATCATGGCATTTTATTTTATCTATCCATGTTTCTCTGTTGTTCATA